TTCACCTCCCGCCTGTGAATGGTGGGGAGCTGGAGTGATTCAGAGAACAGATTCCATGGGGAGGAGACCTTCCTGCCAGGCCGTCCTTGCTGGTCACACACCGATGCCCGCCAGGCCAGTGCCCCACCCCCAGGGTGCTCCAGAGACCCTGCTCCCTCAAAGGAAGGCTCCCCATGGGGCCCCTGTCCTCCAGCTGACGAGCCTCAGCCTAGTCATGGGCCCCAGCAAGGCCGGTGAGCAGGGACGTGGGAGTAGCAGTGGCTGAGAGAGAGTCCTCCAGACGGGGTGGCTGGCGTCCACTCTCAAAGGCTCTGAACACAGAGGAGAATGCCGGCAGGGGTGGGCAGCAGCCGGACCTTGGTGGGGCATGGCTACTCCGTGAGGGCACTTGGGTGTCACCCACAGTGCACCTCTTCACGGGGGCCTGAGTACTGGAGGGAGGGATACAGGAAGGGAGATGGATTCCATCCTCGGGGGCTCTGGGTGCTGCCGAGTATCCCTGGACATGGTGCTGGGCATGGCTGGCATAGGGTGTGGTTTGTCCCCAGCTCCTGATGGCAGCCAGGAGAATGGGTCATCACCCAGGCTCTGGGGCTGAGGAGGGCTGGGCCCAAGCCCACAGCGACTTTGGGGGTGGGGCTCTGCAGCTGTGAGATGGCCCAGCGGGGAGTGGCAGGGAGGGGAGGCTTCAGGAATATTCTTCCTGGCATCCAGGCCCTCTGGGACAGAGGAGGGTACAGTCAGGGGACAGGCTTGTCAGGGGTCCCCGCCTTGCTCCCTGGGGATTGTCCAGGCAGAACCTGGAAGGCAGCAGGCAAGCTGTTAGATGAAACAGAGAGACCCTCGCGGCTGACTGGGGCCCAAGGGGAGGGGCGCTGAAAAAGATGTAAAATTGGCCAGGCGCGGTGGCTCACGCCTGTAATCCCAGCACTTTGGGAGACCGAGGTGGGCGGATCACGAAGTCAGGAGATAGAGACCATCCTGGCTAACACGGTGAAACCCCGTCTCTACTAAAAATACAAAAAATTAGCCAGGCGTGCTGGCGGGCACCTGTAGTCCCAGCTACTCGGGAGGCTGAGGCAGGAGAATGGTGTGAACCTGGGAGGCGGAGTTGCAGTGAGCCGAGATCGTGCCACTGCACTCCAACCTGGGCAACAGAGCAAGACTCCGACTCAAAAAATAAATAAATAAATAAAAAAGAAGATATAAAATTGGGAGGGGTGGTATTGGCCATCAGGGTGGGCAGGGCCAGGAAGGGAAGTAGCACCCGCCCCAGCCCCAGGCCAGTGGCTTTTCCCCAAGAGCCTGCTCTGCGGCCCGCCTGCTCCGGCTTCCTCCACTGATGAAGACACTGCCATAGAGCTGAAGCTGAACATGTGTTTGCTAAATAAAGATTCCCATTCCTAGCCCACCCCATCTTGTACTTGTTGTTTACCCATCCCTGAGGGCCGCGTGTGCCCTCACAGACCCCAGTACTAAACCCAAGTCTCATCTCAGCTCTGCAGAAATATCAGGGCCATTGTCCTTGGTACCTCAGAGCCTCTGGTTTCTCATCTGCAGCATGGGACACATACGGAGCTCATGCTCCTGGGGTTGCAGTGAGGGAGGACAGAGGTCCCACGTGGGAGGGGCCTCTGCTGGGGAATCAGCATCGTCTCAGACACCAACATGCAGTGAGCACTTCAGAGTTCCTTCCCTCTCTTTTTCTTTCTTTCTTTCTTTCTCTTTCTTTCCTTTCTTCCTTTTCTTTCTTCCCTTTCTTTTTCTTTCTTTCTTTCTTTCCTTTTCTTTACTTTCTCTTTTTTTTTTTTTTTTGAGACAGAGTCTCGCTCTGTCGCCCAGGCTGGAGGGCAGTGGCCGGATCTCAGCTCACAGCAAGCTCCGCCTCCCAGGTTCACGCCATTCTCCTGCCTCAGCCTCCCGAGTAGCTGGGACTACAGACGCCCGCCACCTCGCCCGGCTAATTTTTTGTATTTTTTAGTAGAGACGGGGTTTCACCGTGTTAGCCAGGATGGTCTCGATCTCCTGACCTCGTGATCCGCCCGTCTCGGCCTCCCAAAGTGCTGGGATTACAGGTTTGAGCCACCGTGCCCGGACTACTTTCTCTCTCTTTCTCTTTCTTCTCTTCTCTTCTCTTTCTTTCTTTCACAGGGTCTGGCTCTGTTGTCCAGGCTGGAGTGCAGTGGTGCAATCTCGGCTCATTGCAACTCCTGCCTCCTGGCCTCAAGCAATCCTCCCACCTCAGCCTCCCGAGTGACTGAAACTAAGGTGTCAGCCACCACACCCAGCTAATTTTTTTTTTTTTGGTATTTTTTGTAGGGACAAGGTCTTGCTATGTTGCCCAGGCTGGTCTTAACTCCTGGGCTCAAGCAATCTGCCCACCTCAGCCTCTCAAAGTGCTGGGATTACAGGTGTTTCAGAGTTGTTTCTAATGAGCAGGGCACTGGGAGCGGCCAGGAGCATCCTGAACGCTGCTTCTCCGTCAGTGGGGCCCTGGCTCTTGGCCACAACACGCGCCCAGTGGAGACCGACGAGGCTGCTCCACCCAGTACAGCCACTGCCCAGGGCTGGCAGAGGGCAAGGGGCAGCAGGTGGGTCTAGGGAGAGCCCTTGGCTGGGGGTGTCAGAAGGTTTGGACGCTCTGGTGTCTCCTGGAGTCCCCTCACTCACCGCTTGCTGGCAGTGTTGTTCTGAGGGCCCTGACAGAGGAGGGGACTGGAGGTGAGGGCAGCAGGCCTCAGGTTGCTCCCTGGCCGAGGGTGCTCAAGAGAGAGCACTGGGCAGGGAGTCAGCCCTCCTGGCTCCGGGTGTCCCTGCCAACTCGCTGTGGCCTTGGGCAAGTCTTCCATGGCCTCCAGGCCTCAGTTTCCCAACTGAGGAGCTGGATCAAGGCCAGCAGCAGACACACGCATCAGGGGTCCCAGGAGAGCCTGGGGTGGAATGCCAGACGAGGGGTGGGGTGTGGCTCAGATCCAGGCTGGGCCCCTGGAGTGCTGCTGGGATGCCCTGGGGTGACCCCTAAATGACCTTCTGCCAATACCCTGCCTCTGGGGGAGCTGCCTCAGGGATTCTGATTCCCTTGGCCTGGGGTGGGTCTGGAAAGCTGGGGTTTTAAGACATTTCAGGCGATTCTGATGCCCAGCAGCTGGAACCCGTGCCCACCAGCAGCTCACCCGTGGGGAGCACGTGTCCCCGGAGCAGGCAGGCACTGGCCCCTGCAATGCCACACTCACAGCTGTAGGGCCCGTTTGGTGCCTATAAATCTGTTGTTCAATTGACAAAAAACTAAGGACCAGAGATGGCAGCCACAGCACCCTGGAGGTGCCGACATCAGTGAGGTGGCCACATGCAAAGCAAAGGCGCAAAGCCTGGGGACTTCTCGATGAGTCGAAAACATCCAGGGGAAAGGGAGCCCTGTGTCCCCAGCTCATAGATGAGGGCAGGATGGAGATGTGGAAAAACAGAAACCTTCCCCAAGGGCAGGGCAGGAACCCCAGCTTCTCCCTCACAGCTGGGTCCGTGTGCAGAGGGCGGGCTCCCTGCATGTCGGTGCACAGATTTAATGCAAAGCCTAACTCATTTAAAAATTTAACGTCGGCCGGGCACAGTGGCTCATGCCTGTAATCCCAGCACTTTGGGAGGCCAAGGCAGTTGGATCACGAGGCCAAGAGATCGGGACCATCCTGGCCAACATGGTGAAGCCCCGCCTCTACTAAAAATACGAAAATTAGCTGGGTGTGGTGGTGGGTGCCTGTAATCCCAGCTATTCGGGAAGCTGACGCAGGAGAATTGTTTGAACCCAGGAGGCAGAGGTTGCAGTGATCAGAGATCGCACCACTGCACTCCAGCCTAGTGATAGAGCAAGACTCCATCTCAAAAAAAAAAAAAAAAATTAATGCCTCTGAATTAATGCCTCTGAAGGCCATTTAAAAGAAGAAATGAATGAAGCCTGCCATGGAGGCCAGCCTGCACGAAGGCCCCCAGCAACCCCTGCCTCCGGGTGGTCACAGCATGCAGCCCCGTTCCACCCAGGGTACCCCAGAATAGGATGAAGCTGCAGACATCACTTCTGAGTGGGCTGCGAAAGGCGTCACGGCTCCATCTCTGCTGCTCGCCTTATTTCGGGGAAGCAGCCGCCTCGTGTTGGGAGTAGCTCTACAGAGGGACCCCTGGGGGCAATGGGTTCTCCAGCTCACAGCCCGCAGACCCTCCCGCCCCAGGCCAGCCTTCCGATGACTGCAGTTGGACTGAGCACGTCGTGGGACCCTCCTGAGACATCCTGAGGTGCAGCCACCCCACGCACGCGCTCCCGAGGAGAAACGGAGAGACGACGCGTGTGTGCTGTTCCAGGACATTGGATTTCAGGGCAGTTGATGATGCGGTGTGAGATCACTAATGCGGCAGGGCAGCAGGGGCTTCCATCGCAGATAGAAGACGTCCTCATCACAGCGCGATATGCCGTCAAACAAGGCGGTTTAACCCAAGAATCAACAAATCCCAACAGCGAACACACAGAAAGTGGTGCCGCAGCCAGTCCTCAGGGAAGGAGCGGCCGTCTGACAGGTGAGAGTGCTGGTGAAAGGGAAACAAGGACAGCCTGATGGAACCCAGGCCCCAAATCACCCCAGATGGATGAGAGGTGCTGTGCAGGGCTGTAAGGCCCCCGAGAGGCGGGCAGACTGACATTCGGACTCGGCCTGGGACGCCCTCACAGCTGGAAGGCCCCCGGCCTAGCAGAGGGGAGCTCACTCACACAGTTTTTTATTTATTTTATTTTATTTTTTGAGATGGAGTCTTGCTCTATCACCCAGGCTGGAGTGCAGTGGTGCGATCTCGGCTCACTGCAACCTCCGCCTCCCGAGTTCAAGTGATTCTCCTGCCTCAGCCTCCGGAGTAGCTGGGATTACAGGTACGCACCACCACGCCCAGCTAATCTTTTTTGTATTTTTAGTAGGGACGGGGTTTCACCATGTTGGCCAGGATGGTCTCGAATTCCCGACCTCAAGGGATCTGCCTGCCTTGGCCTCCCAGAGCGCTGGGATTACAGGCGTGAGCCACTGCACCTGGCCTCACACATTTTAACTTGGTGATTTCACGCTCAGAATCTATTCTGAGGGAATAGTCACACAGGTGACGCCACCTTCGTTGTAATAGTCCCAAATGGAAAACAGCCTGGACGTCCACGAACAGGAGGAGGTTACCACTCCCAGCTTCACAAAGTGCGACGTCATCCTATTGAGATGAAATTGAAAATCTTTTTTGTTTTTGAGACAGACTCTTGCTGTGTCACCCAGGCTGGAGTGCAGTGGCACGATCTTGGCTCACTGCAACCTCTGCCTCCCAGGTTCAAGCAATTCTCCTGCCTCAGTCTCCCGAGTAGCTGGGACTATAGATGTGCACCGCCACTCCTGGCTAACTTTTTGTATTTTTAGTAGAGATGGGGTTTCACTCTGTTGACCAGGCTGGTCTAGAATTCCTGACCTCAGGTGATCCACCCGCCTCAGCCTCCCAAAGTGCTAGGATTATAGGCGTGAGCCACCGCACCTGGCAAAAACAGAAAATCTTCCAGTGCTGATCCCATCAGAAACGCCCACAATCTAACAAGGTGTGAGGAAAGGGCGCTGACCCACACGCACCGGCAGGCTCATTTTGACAATAGGAAAGAGCTGGAAGCATGTTAATGGCAAATGATCTTTTACTGGTGACATTTTCTGCTTTTTATTTTTCTGTTTTCCAAAAGGAACTTGTGTTATTTTTATCCTCATAAAAAGAAACAAGTGGTGTATTTTTAAAAACTGCACCACTCAGTAGCAATCTGTTGATGAGGATCTGTTTTGCGCCCCCGGTGTTGAGTTTCCCAAACTGACCTGTCATCTGAGGTGCTGGGACTCCGAGCCCCACGACGGCTGCTGTGAGGCCTCCACACTTGGCAAGCAGTGCTGCTCCCCGAGCAGAGCCAGCTCCCCGTGACAGCAGCCTGTCATCAGAATCCCCTGTCCTCATTTCCTCCAGCCCGAGCTGGGACCGCATTAACCCTGCATGTTCCACCTGCAAACAGCGGGGACAGTGGAGAAACCCAGCACTCCAGCCCCCACCCCATAGTGGTCCTGGGCACAGCGAGAGTTGGGGTCTTCCATAAGCGTCCCCCACCCAACGTGAGGCTGATGTCCAAGGCCAGGGGGAAAATCCCGGGACAGTGTGGGACAGGAGCAGGGGAAACAGCAGGGGCGGGGGCCAGGCTGGGCTATGGCTGGGCTATGGCTGAGCTGGGCTGGGCTATAATTGGGCTATGGCTGGGCTATGACTGGGCTGGACTGGGCTATGGCTGGGCTGTGGCTGAACTGGACTGGGTTATGGCTGAGCTGAACTGGGCTGTGGCTGGGCTAGACTGGGCTATGGCTGGGCCAGGCTGGGCTGTAGAGGAAGCATGGACTCAGGGAACCCCTATGGAAGGTAACCCTCAGGGCACCTTGCAGACTTGGCAGTAATTTGTGGGTGAGCTTCCCCTCCATAGGCTGTGTGCGTCTCAGGAGCAGGAGTGGGGTTCTGTCTCCCTGGGGGCCACCTGGGCCTCTCCGGTCTGTAAGAGCATTAGGACAATCCCCAGTAGCATCAAGAGGCCACAGCCAGACCCAACACTCCCCAGCTCCTCTAGGTCGCAGCACACCTGGAAATGGTCATACTGGTCAGACCCACGTGGCCGATGGGTTGAGGGCTGAGGGCTGAGGGCTTCTCTCCCATGCACCTGAAGCTCCTCAGCCTCAAAGCTCTGCTCTGGCCACTGGTGTGGGAAATGTCCAGTGGCCTCCTCGGCTCCCAACTCAACCCACCTGCCCTTGGTCAGGGCCTGTGGTTCTGAGCCCAGTTCAGTCCCAGGCGTGAGGGCTTCCCCCTGCGACTACTGTGAACCAAGCGCTGGACAGGAAGCTGAGAGTCCGCTGCTGTATTTTTAGATGACCCTGTTTCTTAGCCGCCCTGGGCAGCCCCGAGGCCAAGGCCGTGGGGTAGCAGGGCAAGGAGCCCAGCGTCTCTCCTACCTGCGCTAGCTGGGTGGGGCACCTGAGGGTGGCACCTCCCCTCTCTGGGCAAAGTTCCCTCACCGCTGCCATAGACTCCCAGCTTGGAAAGCTTCTGCTAACCAGCTGTGCTTATTCATGATAATCACGTTTTCCCACGTAACAGCAGAACAAGAGGACACATAGGTGCCACTGACATCAACAGGGAGGGCAGCACCTGTCGGTGTCCTGGCCTTGGGCTGAGGCTCTCTGCCACCCCAGGCCCCCACGACGGGCTCCACTGTCCCCACCTGGTAGATGAGGAAACAGGTGGGGAAGCTGCACCCCTGCCCCCACCAGCCAGCCCCACCGCCACAACTTTCACCTGTGCTTGCCCTGGAGCCCTTCCTGATGTCTGTCCTAGGCCGCGAGTCCCTGGAAGGCCTCGATGGGCTTTCTGAGCTGACAGTCACCGAGGAGCCGGCATCTCGCTCCTTCCCCCACCAGCCCAGCCCTCACCACCTGACCCTCCCGCCACCCTCCAGACAGAGGCTAAAAATACCTCCCCCGGGGCCACCAGCCCCGCCCTGCCCCGCCCTGCAGGCCTCCGTGTCCCCTGGCTGCCGGCTAGGCAGTCCTGCTCTCGGGTCTGTGTTCTCAGCTTCAAGGTCCAGGCCGAGTGAGAGGTAGGATCCAGGGGGCTCTGGGGCAGGGGACAGCAGAGAGGGCAGGGGGACCCAGCAGGGGGCAGCGGGGAGGTTGGGTTAGGCCCCGGAGGCCGGGATCACAGCCGAGTGCTTCGGAGACGCCCCCTGGCCCCTGCCAGCTGCCAAGCCAGGCTCCTCAGGGTGGGGGCTCAGGAGACAGGTTTCCCTCTGTTACAGCTGGAGAGGTGGGAGGGGGAGCCCGGGCCACCCCTCGGATGGCAGCCAGGGCCACTCGGCCACAGTCGCCAGCCTTGCTGGGCTCAGGCTTTTTATTGTCCTGCCCACTCAGCTTCCTCACTCCAGGCCTGGGCAGGCACTGGGGTGAGGTTCTGAGACCCTCAGGAAGCCCCTGATCCATGCAGGGACTGCAGGGTGACAAGTGTCAGCAGGCACCCCTGAGGCCCCCAGGGAAAGTGGGGGCGCTTACGCCTGCGGGCCCATCGCCCCAGCAGCAGCTGGCCCAAGGGAGCACAACAATGACCGGAATGCGACGCCTGCAGGCGGTGGCCCAGGGACAGCCCCATCGCCTACTCAGGCCCCAGCTCATCTCCCAGCTGCCCAGGAAGGGCAGAACCGCCTTCATGGGGGCCAGGGCCTCCTGGGGAGGGGCCAGGCAGGACCCCCATGCCTGCAGTATTGGGTGGGTATTTCGAGTACTGGCCGGGATGCTGGGGCGTGGGGCCGCCGGCCGCCTGAGCTGCCCTGTGCGGGAGCCCGGGTTGGTCCGTGAGGCCCTGTGGGCTCCCAGGTGCTTCCCCGCTCTGGGGTCAAGAGGTGGCATCCGGGTCGGGAAGTCGGGGAACCCTAGCTCCCACTGCCTGCACCTGCACCTGCACCTGCACCTGCACCTGCACTGTGACTGCCCGGCCAGACTCTTGGCCTCCTGGTTCTCCAGCTGAGCTTTGTCATTTCCATGCCGCTGGCGTTCCCACGCATTTTGTACCTGTGGACGCGCGGCCACCTCTCTTGCCCAGGATGGCTCCACGAGGCGCCCCCTAGCGGGCGAACAGCCCCTCCGCTGTGCAGCCTTTCGCCCTGGGGTGACCCGGGTCAAAGGCTTGTGCACAGACTTGATCTCTCCTAGGGACGGTTGTCTTAGGGTGCAATACCAGAAGGACATAAACCACATGCATATAATTACATGAGCCTGTAAGCAGCCTTGCTGACTTCAACCATAGGAGAGTGGTGATGCGAAACCCTCCAGAACGCTGCCTTTGGCTGGCCGTTTCTGTTTAGCAACCTCCAGCGGGCCACGTGGAATGCAGGGTTCAGAGCCTGGGCCCCCAAGCCTAGCTCTGAGTTCAAATTCCAGCTTCATCACTTCCTAAATGTGTGATCTTGGGCGAGTGACTGAAACATTCTGTGCCTCAGTCTCCCCAGCTGTAAAAGGAGCAATGATTACACCCACCCTCCAGGACTGTTGTGGGGCTGAGTGGTGAATGCACAGCTTCTCTGCATGCTTGGCACGTGGCCTGGTGCCTGGGAGCACCACGGGAGCAGGAGCTGCTACAGCCCCCAAATGGCCTCCCCAGCAGTGTGGGATCTGGGACAGAGGACGCCTCCGGGAGTTTGGGTGCCTCCGGGGCCCCTGGGGGTGGGCTCAGTGTAGCCCAGGGTTGTGGACGAGACCCAGGGTATGGGTTCTTTTGCCAGCCCTGTTCTGCCCCGAATGCCTGGCCATGGGTAGGTCTCCCACCCCTCTGAACCTCAATTTCCTCACTGCAAACAGGGATGACACCTGCCCTACCTTACAGGGTTCTGGGGGTGGCTTGAGGCAGATGGCGAGTAAAGTGATTGGCACATGGTCGATGCTCATCCTGTGTTTATCAAGGGATGGAAAGGACTGATGGACAGACTGGATGGGTCACTCAGGAGGATGAGACCATCCCCACTTGGCTGACCCTGCTCTCTTCTCTCCTAGGAGCTCGGGCGGCTCCAGGCACTTCTTCCCTTGAGTGGGTGGGCTGCTGAGGGTCCCGTGGGCACAGCATCATGGTACGGAACGTGGATGACCTGGATTTCCACCTGCCCTCGCATGCCCAGGACATGCTGGAGGGCCTGCAGCGGCTGCGCTCTCAGCCCAAGCTGGCCGATGTCACACTGCTGGTGGGCGGCCGGGAGCTGCCATGCCACCGTGGCCTCCTGGCACTCAGCAGCCCCTACTTCCATGCCATGTTTGCGGGTGACTTTGCCGAGAGCTTCTCTGCGCGCGTGGAGCTGCGGGACGTGGAGCCAGCTGTGGTGGGGCAACTGGTGGACTTCGTGTACACAGGCCGGCTGACCATCACCCAGGGCAATGTGGAGGCACTGACACGCACGGCTGCACGCCTGCACTTCCCCTCGGTGCAGAAGGTCTGCGGCCGCTACCTGCAGCAGCAACTGGATGCTGCCAACTGCCTGGGCATCTGTGAGTTTGGGGAGCAGCAAGGGCTGCTGGGCGTGGCTGCCAAGGCCTGGGCCTTCCTGCGAGAGAACTTTGAGGCTGTGGCACGTGAGGACGAGTTCCTGCAGCTTCCTCGAGACCGGCTGGTCACTTGTCTGGCCAGTGACCTGCTGCAGGTGCAGCCAGAGCAAAGCCGACTTGAGGCCCTGCTGCGCTGGGTGCGCCATGACCCACAGGCCCGAGCCTCGCACCTGCCTGAGCTGCTCAGCCTAGTGCACCTGGACGCCGTGCCCAGGCCCTGCGTGCAACAACTGCTGGCCACAGAGCCCCTGATCCAGGAGTCAGAGGCATGCCGGGCAGCCCTGTCCCAGGGCCGTGATGGGGTGAGTGAGCAGCTGGGAGGCCCCTATTCCTGGGAAGCAGGGAGGAGAGCCCCAGAAACCCCACCTGAATCAAGACAGAGTAAGGAGTGGACATGCCAAGGTGCACTGACCTTGCAATGCTCCTTGTTTTGGGCCAGTTCCCTATAAGGACATCACCATTCACCCCTCAAGTGCAGATAGTGCCTGTGTGCGTGTCACACCCTGGGTGCAAGGGGCAGGGGAATGTAGAAGTGGTAAGATCTTACCCTGTCCTGAAGGAGCCTGCAGCTCAGTGGGACAAGCCTGGAAACAGACGTCAGGCAGTGTGGAAGGGCCAAATATATGCCCAGGATGCATTCTGGGAGGGGCTGGCAGTCAGGGAGTGCTTTCTGGAGGAGGCAGCATGTGAGCTGGGCCTTAGAGGAGGGATAGGAGCTCACAGGGAGAAAAAGAGGGGAAAACCATCCAGGAAGGTGGTGCAGCTTATGCACAGGCAAGGAGGCACAGACAGGCCTGGCAGTCCGCCCGAGCTTTTATGGGGTGCTACTTCCTGTTTGTGCTGGCAGTGGGCCTGGCAGGCACGGCAGGTCATGATGGAGTGACAGGTCTGGGAGTGGCTGCGCGGTCAGCTGCCAGACACCCTGTTTAGGGGCCTTGCTCCAGGGCACTCCTTTAGAGCCAAGTCCGAAGACAAAGAGTGGCTCAGGCTGATGGTCCTCAGGCCAAGGGTGGAGTGAGTAGTGGGCTAACCCCTAACCCCTGTCCCCACTGGATTCCAGCCAGTCACAGAGCACCTGGCCTCCTTCTGGAGCTGGCTTCAGAGCCTTGCCAGTAGGCAGTCACCTAGTATTCTAACTCCTGGCAGTGGGAGATCTGGGGGTTCCATATGGGGGCCAGGGCGGGTGGCTGTTGGGGAGCCTGGGGTCCTGGGAGCCCTAGGCAGCGACTGCTTACTGGCCATTCCTAAGACAGCCAGCGTTTCCCACTGAGCTGGGACACCCTTGTGCCGCCTGCTGGAAGCCACCCAGGGAGCGGGGATGGGGAGAAGCTCATGCATGGCGCTGCGTACCTGCTGTGGGGCTGGTTCTGAAGGTGGTTCAGGAATGGCCCTGAAAGGCACGTGGTGCAAGGAGGCAGGAGCTTGTGCACTCGGGCACACACCATCTCCAGCAACACGCATGCACACATGCACACACATGCCGAGGCCTGCCCAGGGCATACGGGGGCTCAGGGCATGGGGAGACTTTGCCGTTGCCCTGACCCTGGCCTCCCACCCCACAGGCACCACTCGCCCTCCGGCAGAAGCTGGAGGAGGTCCTGGTGGTGGTGGGCGGGCGGGCGCTGGAGGAGGATGAGGCAGGTGAGGAGCCCACTGCCCACCTTGGAAACTTTGCCTTCTACAACAGCAAGGCCAGTAAGTACCCCTCCCGCGTCCAGGCCCACCTGCCGTCCCTCGGTCTGGCAAGAGCCACTGTGTCCACCTTGCAGGTGGAGCAAGTGAGGCTCGCAGAGGACCAGGAGCTGTGTGAGGCCACTGTGAGGGGCATGCCTGGGTGGGCCTCACCTGGGGGCTGCAGAGGAGCCTGTGACACCCCAGTGAGGAGGACAGCTGTGGGACACTGCTGTTTCCTTTCCCTGCAACCAGAGCCCAGGACTCGGGTCCCTTTTAGGCTCTGGGACTGGTGTACAGGGCTCCACGGCCCAGACTGCGCTCTGTGGAGTGGGCGGCCTGGCCGCTGCCTCCTCCCCATGCCCCCCGCTCAGTGCACCTGCCGGGGGAATCGAGACCCCAAGGGGAGAGCGGGGTGGGGAGTAAAGGGGTGCAGGCAGCTGGAGGAGTGAGAGCTCAGCTTCTGGGCCAGCCCAAACGGGGTTGTAATCCCAGCCCTCAAACAGGTGACCTCGCCTTTCTGAGCCTCAGCTTCCTCATCTGTGAAATGGGCTCCTGCTGTTTCCTCACACAGTTGTAGGGAGCCCTGAAGTGGGCACTAAGGCCAGGTCTGCCATTTGGCGGGAAAGGAGGCATGAGGGCCCCGCAGCGGTTCTGGAGGCCC